TCTCTCTCCTCTCTTTCTCTCTCCTCTCTGTCTCTCTGTCTCTCTCTCCTCTCATCTCTCTGTCTCTGTCTGTCTCTCTCTCTCCCTCCTTTTCCCTCTCTCCCTTCTTCCTTTCTCTTTGTTTCTCTGTCTCTCTCTCCATCCTTCCCTCTCAGTATCTGCCCTTCACAGTCATTTGGAAATAACAAGAGTTGTTGAGGTCAACAAGATACTGCCCTGCTGAGGTGAGCATATTGTTGAAGGCAACCCCAGAGCTTTTAACAACACAAGAGAAGCAGGTTTGAAAGCCCCAGACATTGGGAGGAGAGCAGTGTACAGGCAGGCCCTGAAGTCAGGCCTTGTTCAGAAGCTCAGTATAATCTAGTAAACCTTTAGTGGCCAGGCAGATCTGGCTCTGTGACCCTGGGCCAGTCACTTCCCCTCACTATGTCCCAAGGCAATATGCCAGCCTGCATTAGCAGAGAAAATGTCTTTATCTGCTTACAAAATCCCAGGTTGGGTCCCTCCCCCTCTCCCTGACCTCTTGGTGGCTATACCCAGCCCAAGTGATGGAGCACCTGGTCTAGCCATACTTATCCATTTGCAGAGGACCTGCTAGGGACTCAGGCTCATGACAAAAGTTCTCACCCAGAGCCCTGGACAACAGAAAGCTGATGGTCCATCTCTGCCAGGACACAGTCAGGAGCAGCCACAACTATCTAAGGGAGAAGATGAGGTACAGTGGCATGGTGCGAGGCAATGTTCCTTCAAGGATTTGAAAGGGTGTCATAAGGAGGAGAGATTGAGGCAGTGCCTCGTAGGGAAAGGGGCTGCTTCTTCAGGTCAGAAACTAGAAAGGACAGATGAGGAAATAAGAGTAAGGAGGGATGACCTTGGTCTGACCTGGTAGCTCACAGAAGCGGAGAGAGTGTCAGAAAGGTGGCTGTTGGCTTTTGTTTATAGTGGCATGGGTAGGGGGTGGTGGGACAAGAAAGAAAGTGAACCAACGTTTTCTTTCAATGGTCTGGTGAATATATTACATGGGAGACCTCAGCCTGCCTCCCAACCCCTTAAACTCTCATCTCTCCCCCCAAACTCACACCTTTACTGAGAAAACCTACCACATTCCCTCCCTCCTTCCTTCCCTCCCTCCTTCCCTCCCTCCTTTCTTCCCTCCCTCTTTCCTTTCTTCCCTCCCTTTTTCTCCCTTCTCCCTCCTTTCTCCCTTTCTTTCCTCCCTCTTTTTCTCCTCCCTTCCTTCCTTTCTTCCCTCCTTCCTTCCTTTTTTCCCTCCCCCTCCTTTCTTCTCCCCCTCTTTTCTTCCCTCCTCCCTCCCTCCTTCCTTCCTTTCTTCCCTCCTTCTTTTCTTCCCTCCTTTTTCTCCCTTCTCCCTCCTTCCTTCCCTTCTTCCCTCCCTCCTTTCCTCCCTTCCTTCCAGTTGGTACATCTGACTCTCCCAAACCAACCTTTTCTCCCTACCCCCACAACTGAGAACACAAGAAAAACTAAGCCCATTCCACACAGGTATAGTAAAAAATGAAGATTCATGTTGCCTATGTCCTAAAAAACCTTTGTCTCATTCTGAGTCTTTCCCCTCTCAGGAGGTGGGAAGCATTGGTCCTGTGGAATCCTGCTTGGTCATGACGCCCATAAGAGTTCAGCACAATCATATTCCATCACATTCATGTACCATAACTTGTTCGGCCATTCCCCAATTGATGGGCATTCTCTTCAGATTCCCATTCTTTTCCACCTCAAAAAGAGCTACAAGTTTTTTTCTTATATCCTTAGTTCGTTTTGCTCAAGACTCATCCCACTCCCCCTGTAATCTACCTTGCCTCTAATTCTTCCTCCCCCTTCTCTCTGCAATTTTCCTGTTGAGTGAAATGTATTTCTGTACCCAACTGTGTGTGCTCTGTCTTCTTCTGAACAGTTCAGATGAGTAAGGTTCAAGAGTCAGCTACTCCCTCCACCCCTAGCCAACTCAATAATCCAAGAAATACTTATTAAGCACTTTCTATGTGCCAGGCACCGTACTAAGCTCTAGGGAGACAGTTAGTAAAAAGAAAGACAAAAAGGGGAGACAATACACAAAAGGAGGCAGGAAAGTAGGAAAGCAGGGAGTGGGAGGGAGATGGGGCACCATCCCAGCATGGGGGCATCTTGTTCCATGGAGCTGAAAGCAGGCACAGTAGCAGATGCAAAGTGGAAGGAGTTGAGTCCAGTTTTTGTCCTGTATAAAGGAAGGTGAGGCAACTAGATGGCTCTGTGGGCTTGGAGACAGGAAGACCTGAGTTCAAATCTGGCCTCAGACATTTATTAGCTGTGTGACCCTGAGCAAGTCACTTGATCCTGTTTGCCTTAATCCATTGGAGAAGAAAATGGCAAACCACTCCAGTCTCTGCCAAAAAAAAAAAAAATGCCATGGACAGTGTGGTCTATGGGGTCAGAAAGAATCTGACAAGACTGAACAAGGTGATGGAAGGCATTGGGAGGAGAGAGGAGGCTGAGGGAGGTGGTAGCACTCAAAGCTTTGAGGCGGCCACATGGTACCAAGTTTAGAAGTGAAGAGCTCATCCTGGGAGGGGCATCTTGTTCAGTGGAGTTGAAAGCAGGCAGAGCAGCAGATGCAAAGTGGAGTCCTCTCTTTTTTTCTATAGATGTCTACTTGTTCACCCTGATTATGTGAGACACTTCTCCCTAACTTCCCTTCCCTTTCTTCCTTCTTCTCCTCCTCCCCAGTGTAAGCCTCTTGCCCTTTCTTTCCAGTCTTTTCTAAAGATGATCAAGATATTACAGAACCATCCCCAGGCCTTGTCTAATTGATTGGACTCCCTCTATGACCCCAGATGATGATGTGTCAGTTCACACACATCTTCCCAGGATTTTCTGAAATACCCCCTTCATCATTTCTTATAGCACAATAGTATTCTATCACATTAATATACCATAACTTGTTCAAGATTCCCAGGCCATGTCTAATTGGACTCGCTCTATAAGCCATGATGATGGCAGGACGTGGGGTGGAGGGGGTGGGGGCACATGTATGCTCTCTCCATAAATGGATGGAAGCAGTTTGTCCTTGTTTGGGCCTTTCTCACCGTTCGTTCACGTTGACCTTTTTATGCTTCTCTTCACGTCTGTGTTTGAACCTCAGAATTTCTCCACAGCTCTGGTCTTCTCGTCAGGAATGCTTGGAAGTCCTCTATTTCACTAAAACTCCATTTCTCCCCAGTAGCATTATACTCAGTTTTGCTGGGTAAGTTATTCTTGGCTGTAAGCCCATATTCTTTGCCTTCTGGAATATTACATTCCAAGCTCTCTGCTTCTTTTAGAGTGGTGGCTGCTAAATCTTGTGTGATCTTGACTGTGGCTTTTCAGGACTTGAATTCTTTCTTTCTGGATGCTTTCAGTATTTTTTCTTCGACCTGGAAACTCTAGATTTTGGCTATGATGATCCTAGACTCAGGAGGTGACCAGTGTATTTTTTCTATTTCCACTTTGCCCTCTGGTTCTAAAAGATCTGGACAGTTTTATTTTAAGAATTTTTTTTTTTTTTTTTTTTTTGCTTTTTGGTGAGGCAATCTAGGTTGAGTGACTTGCCCAGTGTCACACAGCTAGTAAATGTTAAGTGTTTGAGGCTGGATTTGAACTCAGGTCCTCCTGACTCCAAGGCCAGAGCTCTATTCACTGCGCCACCTAGCTGCCCCTATTTTAAGAATTTTTGAAACAGAATGTCTACCATGATGAAAAATGCAATCCACCTCTAGAGACAGAACTGTTGAGCTCTGAGTGTAGACTGAAGCAGATTTTTTTCACTTTATTTTTCTTGCTGGTTTTTTTTTTTAAGTTTTGGGGGTTTTTTTGCAACATAGGTAATACGGAAATGTTTTGCATGACTTCACATGTATAATTGATATCACATTGCTTGCCTTCTTAATGGGTCAGGAGTGGGGAATGGGAGAGAGGGAGAGAATTTAGAACTCAAAATTTTTAAAAATGAATGTTAAAAACGAAATAGGATGTCCAAGCTCCTTTTTTGGTCGTGGATTTTAGACAGTCCACTCATTCTTAATTTGTTTTCCAGGTCAGCTGTTTTTGCTATGAGATACCTTATATTTTCTTCCATTTTTTCCAGGTTTTTTTTTTTAACTTTGTTTCAATATTTCTTGTTGCCTCATGACATCATTGGCTTTTATTTGGCCTACTCTAATTTTCAGGGCATTTGTTGCTTGGGAAAGGTTTTGTACCTCTTGTACATTTCTGTTAATTCCCTTTCCAGTTCCTTCTTCCAAAGCTCTCATTGCTTTTCCAATTTTTTTCCTCAAATACTCTTATTTCATTTATAGAAACATTTTTAACTCTTTTTTCCCCCCAATCTACAATGATTTTATTGTAACAGAGAAACCAGGCTGCATAAAGGCCTATGTGATTACAATGGAGGGTGATCTTTTCAAGGTTGATGTTTGAACTCGGCTAGCAACACAGAGAAGCTTACAACCACAGCTCAAAATACTCCTCTCCCAGGATGGACTGCCCCATACAGACTTGTCATGAACAGGCACAACTACGTTGATGAGGTCTGGTGGAGAGGTGGCAGAAATGGGGATGATTAAAAACTTTACAATGATGCCAATATTAAAGTGCAGTCATTTTATCGAATTCCTCTCCTCCATCTTTCGCTGAAAAAGAGGAGTAGAGAACATGCTCATCTCTTAAATTACATTTTACTTAATTCTCCAAGTATATGGATCCTGATAGGAAGGGTCTGAAGATTAATTCAAGCAGAGGGAGGGAGAGAAACTAGGGCAGATTTGGATCTTTGGGTCAAGGGGAAAGGACAGCAATAAAAATGGGGGAAGAGGGGAGACTTAAAAATGTCTTAGATGTCCAATGGGTGAGAACCACCTCCCTTTCCTATTATTTCTCGAAGCAAAGATGCCGTGCAACAGCAGCATCTATGATGTCCAAAAACAAACTGCGAGTCGAGGTGCCTCCATCAGTCATGGGAGGCCAATAGAGGTGGGAGGCAGAACTGGGCAAGCCTTCTTTGGAAGCTTTTAGCACCACAGAGATTTCGGTTATGTGAGCTAAGTGATATTTATTACCTAGATTAAAGCTCTTGAACAACATTGTAATGCCGGAGATCTAAGACTGGGGGAAGGGGAGAGGGTGAGGAATTCTGGTTTCTGGGTGGGATTTTTGGTAGAGTTACTGTAAACATAAAATGTTTCGGAAAAGTTGTGGAGGATGGGTTGGGGAGTTTGGGTTAGACCCACAAAGCTCCACACTCTAGTTTCTAGTGAGTTAGCCTACTCACAGGTCTTATTCTGAGATACTGTCGATGGCTGAGCATTAAGCACTATGATTCAAAGAAATTCTCACACCGCTCCTATCTTCGCCAGCTCAGTCATATCTCTGAATCTCAAATAGCAGAGTCTGAAGGTGGGAAGGTCATCTCTGCTCCATCTCACCAGGGAGAGTTATTTGGTTACTTGGTGAAGGGCATGGGCAAGGTATCCTATGTTGCCCGATGTGACCCCTGCTATGGAAATGTGGCCATCTTTTGTCATATAGATGGAGAATCCCTTGGTCAGCCATTCCACCTGCTCAGGTTTCAGGCCTATGAAACAAAACACGCCAATCTGGTCAGTGATGTGCTGCCAGTTGTGGGAGGAACCTTCTTTCTTGAGGTTGGAAACCAGCTGGGTCCGCATGCCAATGATGCGATCTGCCATGCCTTTGACCTCTTGCAACCAGTGGCTCCTCAGATCAGGACTATTCAGGATCATGGCAGCAATTCGGGCCCCATTGAGAGAAGGGTTGGAATACATGGGATGAATCAGTATTTTCAACTGGGATTCTACCCTTTTGGCTTCATCAGCATCTTTACAAACCATGGTAAAGGCTCCCACACATTCACCATACAGGCCCATGTTCTTGGTGTAGGACTGACAGAGAGGGACATTAATGCCCTGATCAATGAAGTGGCGAACAGCCCAGGCATCCTTGTTGCCATCTCCACTGGCAAAGCTCTCATATGCTATGTCAAAAAAGGCAAAGAGTTCCCTTTGCTTTACTAAGGATGCTACTTCTTTCCACTGCTCAGGATGAAGATCAACTCTTGTGGGGTTGTGAGCACAGGCATGCAGAAGGATGACACTCTGCATCTCTGGGATTTCTGAAATGTCTTCCAAGGCTCCGGTGAAGTCAAAGCCACAAGTCTTGGGGTTGTAGCAGCGATAGCCATTCAGCTGCATGCCAGCGTCCCTGAAGATGGGGGTGTGATTTCCCCAGGATGGTTTTGGAAGATACACATCCCGGCTAAATTTGAAGAACCGTTGCAGAAAACTGGCTCCCGCTCTCAATACACCGGTTCCAGAAATGGTCTGTGTGGTGACATATCGATTGCTTTTCAGAGCCTTGTTATTTTCACCCAGGGCCAACTCTGCTGATGCCTTGCAAAATTCAGCCAGTCCTGCGATGGGCAGGTACTCTTTGTCCATGTTCTTCCCTGCAATTTGAGCCTCTGCCTTACGGACGCTTGGAAGAACGTAAGGCTTCCCATTGTCATCTCGGTAGGCCCCAACTCCCAGATTCATCTTCTTGCTGTTAGTGTCCCTCTTAAATGCTTCCATAACCCCCAAGATAGGGTCATGGGGCCCCATCTCTATGTGGGTCCATCAAGAGCTGGCTCTGGCGTTGGCGGCTGTGCTGAGGCCCAGGTAGAAGGAAGTAACTCCGGAGAGGAGGCGGCAGGAGTGCAGCAGCGCCATGGCGAGCAGAGAGATGGAGAGCTGAGCGACTGCTGGCGAGATGGCTGGCAGACGCCGGCACACCAACATTTTTAACTCTTTAAAAAAAACTCTCGCTTCATCTCTTCCAGAATTCCAGTTGAGTTTGTGCCCAAGCTGTGTTTTTTCTGAGGCTTTCTTGAAGATGTTTTAGAGTCATTCTGTTCTGCATTTGTGTCTAGAGTGTCCCTGCCACCATAATAGCTCGTGGTGGGCTTCTTTGTGTGTTTGCCCATCCTTCCAGCCTGCTTCCTGACTTCGGACTTGATGTCAGGGTTGGGCTCTGTCACACTCGTGGAGGGAACGTCTGGGCTCTTTCTGCTGCTGCTTTCTTGGGGTATTGAGTGCTGTGTTGTTCCAGGATCTCAGGGACAGCTCAGGCCGGGGACCTGCAAGCTTTCTGTGCCCCCAGAAGGGTCTGATCCAGGGCAAAAGCTGATCGCTGCCCCCTGCTCTGAGCTCTTCAATTTCCTGACCTGGGTTTGAGTCTGAGCAACAGTAGATGCTGCAGACCTCGGCCCCTATCGGCCAGCTGGCAAGCTCCGCTGGTTCAGAGCGGTAGATTGTAAGCTCCCCTTTGGTCTGGGGTTCCCAGCCTGGCTGCTCCTCTGTAGGTTGGGCTAGACGCTGGAAGTGAGAGCCCAGTCTGGTCCTGGAGTCTGAGTCCCACCACCACAGCCACCGCCGCTGCTGCTGCTGGCTTCACACACTGGCCAGGGTTTCCCTACCTGGGAATGCCACCCCTGTGCACAGGTTCCCTCCTCAGGCTCCCTTGGATCTGAGACCCAGAACTGCCAGTTGGCATCTGCTCCTGTCGAGGGACCCTCCGTCTGGGAGAGCTCCAAGCTGGGTCTAGGACCTCCTCTGGCCTGGATGTACCCAGGTCTCCTTGGGCACTGGTGCTCCTGCTCTGACCAGTCCCTAGGGTCTGCAGACCCCCTTCTCCCCCTATGCTGGGCTGGGACTTTTTCTGGCTTTCCCCATCAGGATTCCATCCACTGTGTTTTATTATTTTATCACTGCTTTCTTTTTATTTGTTTTGCAATAAGTCAATTTTATTTTATATTTGGTTTCAAATTCTTTCCCTTCCTTTCCCCCTCCCTTATGCAGCACAAATATGTGTAGTCACTAAAAACAAATTCACGCACTAGCCCTGTCCAAAAAAGAAAAAAGAAAAAGAATGAAAGACAGAAAAATATGCTTCGCTCTGTCCTCTGAGCTCTGGTACACTATCTAACTTTGTTTGAAAGATTTCATGGGCAGGAGTTCGCCACACTGCTGCCTCCCACTCCATCATCTAGAAAATCGTTTAAATTATTGTTTGAAAAAAAGATCAAGAACAAAAGAAAACCCAACCTCCAAGCCTTCTGCAAAGCAGCCTTTAACTCAGACCCTCACTGAGAATTGTCCAAGATGCACCTCATCCCACTCTGAGAGAAACGAGGCACAAGGATGTTAGAGAAATTGGAGTCAGAGCAACTGGGTTCAAATTGAGGCATTGTGGTCCCCTCCACGACATAAAACATCCCTCATGGGAAGGGAAGAAAGGAGATAAGCACTATAGGCTCTTCACCTTTCTTGTATCACAGAGTCCCTGGGCATCCTCTGAATCAGGTTTTTTCAATGCAAAACACATATTGGGGAGCAGCTAGTGGGCACTGCAGTGGATAGAGCACTGGGCCTGGAATAGGGAAGACCTGAGTTCAAATCTGGCCTCAGATAGTTCCTAGCTGCGTCACCCTGGGAATGTCACTTCAACTTGTTTGTCTCAGTTTCCTTATCTGTAAAATAAACTGGAGAAGGAAATGGCAAATTAGTCCAGCGTCTTTGCCAAGAAAACTCCAAATGGGGTCATGAAGAGTCAGACACAACTGAAAAGGGACTCTCCAACTACAACAACAAAGGAAAGATGTTCCGTTGCCCTACTGTGACTTGATTGAGTTCTAACAATGTTAGCAATGGCAGTCAGAAAAGAGAAATAAATTTAAAGCATAAAGAAGGCAGAGAGAATACAAAAGTATCTCTATTTGTTGATGATAGGATGATTTACTTAGAAAATCACAGGGAATCAGCAAAAAAATTAATCAAGACAATAGCTTCAGCAAAATTGCAAGTTATAAAAATAAACAGTATTTCTATGTACCAATAACAATATCTAGGAAGCTATAATAAAAAGGAAAGTTCTATTCAGAAAACTACATAATGTATAAAATATTTAGGAGTCAATCTATACACTCGATACCTGTATAGATTCACGTACAACATTCTCTTAAAATAAATTTTAAAAATTTAAATAGCTGGAATATTCAGTGCTCATGGCTGGGTTGTGCCAGTAGAATAAAAGTGACAATACTACCAAAATTGATTTACGCTTTTGATGCTATACCAATCAAATGAACAAAGGAATATTTTTCAAAACTAGACGAAATAATAACACAATGCATTTGGAGAAGTAAAAGATTTAGAACATCAAGGGAAATAATGAAAAAAGATAGGAATGAAGGGAGATTAGTGCTGTGAAGCCCCAAATTATATTCTAAAGCAGCAGTCACAAAAACCATTTGCTACTTTTAACCATTTGGTTAAAAAAAAAACAAACAGAAAAGAAAATAAGGAAAAATCAGAAACAATGTAACTCAATAACCCAGTGTTTGATAAACCTGAAAACATAAATCACTCCTGCAAGAACTTTGTTTGATAAGAACTGCTAGGAAAACTGGAAAGCGGTCTGGCAAACAGATCATTAGTAACTTGGGAGAGAGCAGTCTCAGTTGAAAGATGAATTCTGTAGCCAGACTATAGAGAGAAAAGGAGGGAGGTGGCTTTCTCAAGGGTTTAGCTACAAAAAAGCAGGAATGATATGGGATGCCAGAGGGCTGATGGGGGATACATCAGCATGTTTGTAAGCGACAGTAGAAAAGGAGAGACTGTTGTTTATTGAATAAGAGAGAAAAAAATCATCTCATTTGCCAAAAGCTCCCTCTGCTCCCTTCTTCCTCATCTCCCTTTACTCAGAAATTTTCCCCTTCTCTCTCCTCCTTCACTCTTGTCTCATATGATCTCATTTTTTCAATCAAATGTGAGGCAAGGTTGGTGGGGGGGGCAAAGGAGATTCTGGGAGAGGGGGAGAGGGAGTGGGAAAGGGAGCTGTGTAAGGATGGCCGAGCAGCAGTGAGGGCCCAGTTGAGCTGTAACATAAATCTATAGTGGAGCCAGTCAGCATGGTTTTATGATTTTCTCCACGTTTATCCAGCCACAGTGCATAGGAGTAAAGGCAACGGATGGTGGGAGTGATCTAAGGCTGACGTTTGGCAGGGACTCAAGAGAAGCATACAGTGTAGAGTTGAACTGGTTCACTGAGGAGTCAAGATGGAGAAAGGAGGAGAGGGAATTTCAGAGTTCGTGAACATGGAAACGGCCACATTGATTTTCCTAAAGCACGGGCTAACCGGGTCGCTCCCTCACTCAATAAACGCCAGTGGCTCCCTAGGGCCTCCAGGAGGAAATACAAGATGGTCTCCTTGGCGTTCAATGCCCTTCATGCCCCGCCCCCTCCTCCCTTTCCAGTCTTCCCACACCTCACTCCCCACTCGCGTCCCCTTCCGAAATCCAGTGACCCCGGCCTCCCAGCTGTTCCATCCCCTCCTGACCATCCCCTGGGCCTAGAATGCTCTCTCTCTCCATCTCTGTCTCCCAGTTTCCCTGGCTGCCTCGAAGTTTCAGATCAAACCCTACTTTCTTTTGGTCCCACCTCCCCCCCCACCCCTCACTGCTTCTGAGATTCCCTCCCATTTTACACTGTGTGGATCCTATTTGCATGTATCTTGCCAAGATGCCACGTTTGATATAAATTGTTCTCAACATTATTGTGTTGGTGATGGGTTTTCTATAGAGAACCATTTTCCATGTGGATCTCATACTTTTTATACATGCTATGCTTGGGATACAGATATTATATATATATATACGTGTGTGTGTGTATAATATATATACATACATATATACATATACATATATATTATATATATATATATATATTTGTAGTACCTAAGTCAAAAACTGAGTCAAAGGCCTTTTGCTAATCAGCAAAGGCAAAGGACCTGTTCCAGGGCGCCATAGTCAGTAAGCGGCTAAGGAAGTGCTCTTACACACCTGGGACTTCTGGGGAAGCTCTCTGTGTTCCTCAGCCAACACATCATTTTCTTTTGTTTATAGATTTTTTTGAGTGCTTTGTATTTGCCACACTGACAATTTGTCATCGCTCTTCTACACTAATGATCTAACTGCCAAGTCCAGCAGTCTTTTCTCAATCCTCATTCCTCTTGACCTCTCTGTCGCCTTGGACGCCATTGATCCCCCTTCCCTCCTGGATACGCTCTTCTCCTGGTTCTCCTCCTACCTGTCTGACCACTTCTTCTCAGTCTCCTTTGCTGGATCCATGCCTGCTAATGGTGGGTGTCCCTCAGGGCTCTATCCTAGGCTCTCTTCTTCTCTCCTTCTATCAGACTTCCCTGGGTGATCTTATCAACTCCCCTGGATTTCATGACTATCTCTATGCTAACGATTCTCAAATCTCCCTTTCTGGCCCCAAACTCTATGCTGACCTTTAATTTCTTATCTCCAACTGCCTTTTATAGATCTTGAAATGAAGTCCTATAAACATCTTAAACTCAACATGCTCCAGACTGACCTCATGATCTTTCCCTCCCTTACAGACTTCCCGGTTATTGTACAGGGCACCCCCACCCCCCCCCCCCCCCCCCCCCCACTCCTACACGTCAGCCTTGACTCCTCCCTCTCTCTCATGCGTAGTCTGTTGCCAAGGCCTGTCAATAACACCTTTGCAACATCTCTCAAATACACTCCTTTCTCTACCCTGACCTTCTGCTACAGACCCTCATCACCTTTTTTTTTTTTTTTTTTTTTTGGCTAGGCAATGGGGTCAAGTGACTTGCCCAGGGTCACACAGCTAGTAAGTGTTATATGTCTGAGGCCAGATTTGAACTCAGGTCCTCCTGACTCCAGGGCCGGTGCTCTATCCACTGTGCCACCCAGCTGCCCTAACCCCCATCACCTCTCGCCTGGACTGTGGCAGTAGCTGCTGGTTGGTCTTCCTGCCACAAGTCTCTCCCCACTCCAGTCCAGCCTCTGCTCAGTTGTCAGGTCAGTGACTTTCCACGTCATTTACTCTCCTGCTCAATGAACTCTCGTGGCTCCCCATCACCTCCAGAAACAAATACAAAATTCTGGCCGACATTCAAAGCCCTCTCTGACCTCCCTTCCACTTTATTCTCCATTTTATTGTATCTTAGAACCCACCCACCACACAAATACACACACTATTTAATAGCCTTTGGGGCATAGTTCCAAATTCCTTTCCAGAATGGCTAGACAAGTTCCCAGCTCCACCCAAACGGCATTAATGTGCCCATTTCCCCCAGCCTCACCAGCACTTGTCATTTTCCTCTTTTATCATCTTGGCCAATCTGATGAATGTGAAGTAGAACCTCAGAGGTGTTTTCATTTGCATTTCTCTAATTATTAGTGACCTTACTCTCCCAGAGGGAGAATAGCTCTTCAGTGTTCTAGAGATACCCCTGAGAGGGTGAGAGCATCTTTCTCTCATGCCATCTACTCAAGCTACTGTGTTCTCCAGTATCAACTACCCATAATTGGGACCCCAGTTCTATTTAACCAATTAACATCCATGAGCTTTTACAAGGATATGTTTCTGGCAAAGATACAGCAAGAACACCCTAATTCTAAAAGAAATAAATTATAAATTGCAAATAAAATAACAAATAGAACCATTGCCCCTTGGAGGGCACCTTGGTCACTAGGAAGAGTGGGTTCCAAAGTTCACAAGGTCATAGTCAGCACCAATATCCTTTACAGGAAAGAATAAATGCAATGGTGAAGAATAAGATTATGCATTTGCAAGCCAGGGCCTGAGGCCTCTCACCCCTTACATACTTATTTTTTATCTAAACAGCAGCTCAGAAAAAGCAAAGCAAAGCAAGAGGCTTGGGGAGGGCTGCCCCTTATCTCCTTCCAGGCAACCAATCAAAAAGCCTCTTCTTCCTCAAGGACCCAAGCTCAGCCCTCCAGGCCCACTCCCAACGACCAATCCTTCATCCCATCAAGTTTCTAATGAACAGCAATCCTGGGAGGCAAGGCAGGGCCACAGAGCTTTCTCCCCATTGCATAGATGGGCAAACTGAAGCCCAGAGAATGTCAGCGTCCTGTATTCAAGCTCATAGTGTGGGAAAAAGAACACTGGATTTGGAATTCAAAGACCTGGTTTGGAATCCTGGATCCAATTTGAGAGACTGAATGGCAGAGTAGAAAAAGGCAGACTTTGAATATTTCCTCAGGTACTTACTAGCAATGTGGCCAATGGTGAGTTGCTTGACTTTTTTGAGTTTCAATTTCCTCATCTATAAAATGAATGAATGAATGAATGAATGAATGATTAAAATGAATGAATAAAGCATTTGTTAAGCACCTGCTGTGTGCCAAGCCCCGTGGATGCAAACAGAAGAGTCAGATGGTCCCTGCCCTCGAGGAGCCCCCATTCTAATGGAGGAGGCCACATTTGGGGAAGGGGTATGAAGGAAGGCAAGGTCCCAGGGTCCTTAGGGTGGCGCAGCCAAGCAGGTGCTCAGGCCTCTTCTCTGATGTCACCCATAGAACGGCAACAGGCTCTGCTATTGAGGCCCAGGACTTCTCCTTTCTGAGGCCTTGGGAGCTGCGGCCGGAGCCCCCACGGGAGCAGTCCGTCCCCAGGGTTTGCTTCCCAGGAGGATGGCTGAGGGCCCGGGGCTGGAAGCCCAAACTTATTTGGCCTATTGCCCCTTTGTAAAAAGACAATTACTCCACACCCCCTTAGAAATCTTTCTTTAACCCTTTAATGGTTTTTTTAAAAAAATTTGCATCAGTTAAAAAAAATATATTTTTTAAATGATGCATCTTAAATTTAATAATTTATTATAAATTTGTGGGTTTTTTCCTGCATTGAAATTTTGATGATGCAATATTGAGTCATGTAACCGTATGGTATTGTATTGTAAACAAATCAATACACACACATATTCCTACCAATCAATGAACGCTGCACTTCCCAACAATGCAGGACAGGCTTGCCTACCAACATTTGCTGGTTAAGACCTATTGGTGGACTTGACCACTAATGGGTTATAACTTGCATTTTGTGTGTTTATTTGGAAAATAAAGTAATCGCTATGACTTTAACTCTGTTACACAACAGATGAAACATGTACGAACAGTTTTTCAAAATTTTCTTCTCTTCTCTTCTTTCCTTCTGCTTCCACTGCCCCCTTATTTTTATTCAACGCCCCTCAATTGCACTGGAGGCTACTATCACCCTCCTGGATTGGGAAACTCTGGACTCTGAGGAGAGGGTTGTGGTAGTTTGACTTGCCTGGCACATGCCCCTTCCTTTATCTCCCTCAGCATGCCTAGCTAGCATCCTTTCTTCACAAGGCTGGATTGGTGAAGGTCAGGCTCCTTGGGCTCTCATTTGAAGGTCAGTATCTGACTTCTTCTCCATGCCCCAAGAGATTCATTATTGGGAAAACTTGTGTTGTTCTACAGTCATTCTGCGGTTACATCTGACTCTCGGTGACCCCATTTGGGGTTTTCTTGGCAGAGATACTGGAGTGGTTGGCCATTTCCTTCTCCAGTTCATTTTACACATCAGGAAACTGAGGCCAGTGTGGTGCAGTAACTTCCCCAGGGTTACACAGCTAGGAAGTGCCTGAGGCTAGATTTGGTCTCAGGTCCTCCTGGCTCCAGGCCTGGTGCTCTATTCACTACAGTGCCCCCCAGTTGCCCCACGGAAAGTGATAAATGACAAGGGAAAACCTTATCATCCCATTTACCTTGCTCCTCCCAAATCTCCATTTAAAGAAAGAGCTCAGCTGGCACACCTTATTTCTCACCTGGCTGCACTACTGTGGGACCTCACCATGCTCCTACTAGATTGTAAGCTCCTTGAGGGAAGGGGCTGTGGTTCCTTTTTCATATTTGTAGGTCCAGTGCTTAGCTTATGAAGGACACTTAATACATGCTTATTAAAGGTTATCTACTGAGGTCTTCAGTGTTGTGCTCAAGGTGGATTGTGAAGATTCCCCCAGAAGTGAAATCTTCCCACTGGGAACAAATATGCTAACCTACTGCACGAGGTCATTGTAAGGAGTGTTTGGTGAACTTTAAAGCGCTATGTTAAAGTGGATTGTACTTCTTTATTTCTTGGGGGACCTTGACCAAGTCACAGTAAACCCTGCCCCCTCTAATTCCTTTAATGGAGACCTTAGAGGTACCCTACCCTAGTCTAATCCCTGGATTTTACAGAAGAGGTATTTTAAGAAGGGAATCAGGTGTGGCCCAGGTGTGCCACGGCTTGGCCTAGGTCACTTGGATTGTAAGCAGCAGCTAGGATTCTATACATCCTGCCTCGCTCTCTCAGGCCACATTTGATCCATTCATTCACCCAACAGGGATTATGCCTCATAATCATAGCTCATGAGGGGCTACAGCTCACAAGTCCGCATTGGCCAGGTCTGAAGGCCAGGTCTCTTGCTCCCCCCCGCCCAAAGTCCGAAAGTCCGAGACTCCTCTGTCTCCTCGAGACGCTCAGAGGTCCTACAATTTGTTTGGGTCTTGCGCCCCTCAAAGCAGTCCCGTCAATGTCCCAAGACGCTTCTCTCGGCCATCACACATCATCAGAAGTAGCCTCGTGGGCTACTCCTCCAAGAGACTGAGTCGCCTGTGGGGGAGGCAGGAATGAGCTCCCCAACCCAAAGGTCTAGAAGAAAGAAGCAGAGGGAGAGGAGGGGTGGGAGGGGGAGGGGAGGGAAG